AACACTGATTTAGGGGTTACTATGTACCAGACACTTGATACGCCTTATGTTACAACTCCAAAAACCCTACAAAGCATGTGGCATAGACTCAGTTTACAAATGAGGAAACTAAAGGCCTAGAGAAGGTAAGGCACCTCACCCAAGGTCATCAGCCAGGACTGGGTGGTTCTAAAGCCCAAGTTTAACGTCATGCCCACACTCCCATCCTAACCCTTATGTTGGCCCCTTAACCCACCCATACACACATTTACCAAAAAGGGGACGGCGGGGTGGGGAGGGCAACAGAAGGCCTGTGATCTTGTCGCTCCTAGACCACCCAAAGTCTAAATCACAAATAAGTACCCATGAAGGTCCAGCTTAAAAATAGTGCAGATCTGCATACAGCTTGGCCACAGAGGTGTTCCTGAGGTTCTTTACGATAAGTAACTAGAAGAAATCATTTAATAATATGAGTGAGTAAATAAACTAGCATAAATCCACATGAAAGAATTCAATGCTGTCATTTACAATGACGCTTAGAGCACATGTAGTGACACGGAAAGAGTGGGTATGTTGTAAAAAGCAGCTTATCAAACAATGTGTATGAGAGCGTGAGCTTCCGTGAGCTGTGTCATATACGTACAGATCTCTGTATTAGACACATACATACACCGTTGGCCCTGCATATCTGAGAGTTTTACCTCAGCAGATGTGGATGACGACTGTATGCACTGTTCTACACCATTTTATATAAGGGATTTGAGCATCCTCGTGTTTGGCCCTGGAACCAATTTGTCCGCCTGGATACCGAGTGATGACTGGATATAAATGAGCATGTGTGTGTGTAAACAGAGATACACAACATACAAATATCATCAACAAACCAGCTGGTATTCAAAGGCCATTCCTAAGTACATTTCTTCACCAGCCCAAGTGACTAAGAGGTGTGACTGTGCAGAGTTCCAAGCGCTTTGCCCTCTAACAGGCACGTGAGTCCTTTGATGGTGCTTTATCCAGGTGCTCTCATGCCCTCTTTGCCAGTATACATTTGCCTGGGCACTTGTATCAGAAGATCTGCCGAGGCAGGTATCTGCAGGGTGGCTGGGAACTGCTCCACAGGGGCGGTCTCACCTCTCCCTTTGAGGATGGGCAGGCTCAAAGGGTCCTTAAATTCTGCGACATCTGTAGTCCCTTCAAATGCGCTAGAGCCTCTTAGGGGCTCAAACTGCTTGCTTCTTCCATGATAACAAAAGGCTACTGTACTTCATCAATTCTAAGATGTCCTGTATTAGCTGCACCATTATTTTATTACTTCTAAGAAAGGGAAATAAAAGCTGCCTATTAAATATGTACAATGCTTTCTTACCACTTCAGATTTTTATTTTACGCTTTTTGAAAGAGCTCTTTTAGACTCACACCAATTTTTACTCTCTAGTGTGTGTATTTAAAAAGGACTATAGAAGTGAAGTATATTGCCTACGGTTTTCCAAAACGTTTTCACATTTGGAAGTCAATAGCTCTCATCGGTTTTCAACTCTGAATCATTCATGGTCATGATTCCCCACACAATAGTGGCCTGTGTTCCATGGGAGCATCCGTGATGCAGCATTTCTTAATGAAGCCACAAAAGGATGAAAAGCCAGGGGTGTGAAGTTCTCAAGTGAGAGTTACAATTATCTAGAGCCAGCTTACTTCTGACTCCCACTCTGGGAATGTGGCAGAACAAGTCCTATTCACAACCCCCAACCCCCACGTCCCTCCACACAACTAGTTGTATCCAAAAAGGCTTAAAGAGTGCCTCATTTTTGTCTGCAGGGCTTTCTTTCAAGCTGATGGATGCCCATCCCACAAGTTTGTGCTGCTCTTCTGATGTCTGTACACGCCCAGGAGATGACATCCATGTCATGCCTGCCACCTGGCTGACAGCAGCAATCAGATGTAAACTATCCCAACCGCATATATGTCAGAAGATGAAAAACAGCATCTTAGCTCTGAAGAAATACTGAAATATTCATCCCCCATTGGTACTGATGTCACCTCCTTAGATTGTTCTATCTTTATATTTTTCTTCCTTTCTTGCTAATTGCCACAGCACATTTCACATGTTGCAGGCATACATTTTTCTGTCACAATCATGCCCACCATAGAATTTATGTTTCTTCCATGTGTGCCTATGACGCATTTTTATTATTTTTTTTAAAACCACCATCCACATCCTAACTGCAGGCTCCTTTACCAACACTTTCCACACTCATGACTATTGCATTGGTCAGATCTGATGGAAGTATTGGTGTTAAAGAAAAAAACAACTCAAGAACTAAGTACAAGTAGAGCAAACAGGTGGTTGATTCATAAAAAATGAGATGCAAAAATATAATGGGATACATATCGGTTGGCTTTCAGAGGGAAGTGCACTTCTCTGCTCATTAGTGTGTTTTTTTGTGCAACACTTCAAAAAGTTTGCATATATGGTCTTAGTCAACTTGGGCTGTTATATCAAAATATCACAAACTGGAGGGTTTAAACAACAAATATTTATTTCTCACAGCTCTAGAGCCTGGGAAGTCTAAGATCAAGGTGCCAGCAGACTGGCTACGTGGTGAAGGCTGGCTGGTGATTGGCTGCCTGGTGAGG